GGCCCCCGCCGGCGGAGGCCGGGACCTTGCCGGTGGAGACGGAGCTGCGGCGCACCTGCTTTTATTTGTAAACAGGAGGGACGCCTCTCCCAGTCCTCTGCCATGGAAGTGTGAGTGGCAGTTTCTGCGGTTTACCAGTGCTTAGTTAGCGCTCTTCATCGTGACGAGAATGCGTTGTAAGACCCCCGCCTCCCCCCCGCCCCGTCTTTACCATGAGGAAACTAAAGAGGGTGCATACTTGCTTCTGCGACTTAGCTGTCAGGTAGGCCAGGAGTGACTTGGGTCGGAGCCTTGTTTACGACTGCATCGCCAGCACCCCGTGCACGGTGGACGTTTAGCATACATTCAGTGAATAAATGAATGGATAAACTCAATCAGAGCAAGCCACTTGACGTCAGGGGCCCTCATACTGAGTTCTTGCCAGGCAATTAGCCTGACTGCTGCTGGGATCTTTCCCACATCTGTGGAAGGAGGGGGTTAATATTACAAGAGTTTTCACCACATTTAAAGGATTTAATGCATAAGAAAGCAGCTTGCAAGTTTAAAGTAGAAGCAAGGCGGTCGCTTTGTATGTTTTGTTTCATTTTTTGAGGCAGTCGCTTTTTAAAGTCAGTGTCTCCTATTAGTCCAGTTGGACCCCTCCTGCTTTAGCTCCTGGAGTGCTGGGATTAGAGCCATTATCTCTTATGTTTGTAGTAGTACTTGTGATGTAGTACTCTTCTTCTTCTTCTTCTTCTTCTTCTTTTTTTTTTTTCATAGTGTTGACATTTTTGTTTTTACTCACTGAGGAATTTCAGTCCGTCTTGGTGGAGCATGTGGGCAGGGCAATTCACATCATTTAGGCAGGAAGCAGAGAAAGAATACTTGTGCTTTGCAGTGGTATTAAAGTGAATGCTGGGAATCAGCACATCTTCTGTAGCCCTGTCCTTTTGTCTTTTTATTTTATTTTATTGGTTTTTCGAGACAGGGTTTCTCTGTAGGTTTGGAGACTGCCCTGGAACTCTCTTTGAAGACCAAGCTGGCCTCAAACCACAGAGATCCACTAGCTTCTGCCTCCCGAGTGCTGGGACTGCACCATTAACGCCTGGCTGTCTTTTTATTTTTAAGACAAGTTCTCTCTAAGGTTTAGGCTGACTCACTCACTTTGCAGTGCAGGCTGACCAGAACTAGTGGTGATCCTCCTGTTTCAGCCTCCCAATACTAGGAGTATAGAAATGAGCCCTCCTTGTCCAGCTTTATTCTTTTGCCAAATATTAAACCCAGGCTTTTATGTATGCTAGGCAAATACTCCACTGACTGAGCCAATCCCAAGTCCCCTATAATGGTGTTGAATGTTGCTCATAGTTCATGGTTCAGCGTACTTGAAATTTTCCTCTAAGAATTAAAGAAGATGGATTAGTTGTACCCACATGCAGCTGTATCATCTGTGGTCCAAGGTCTGTCTGTGGAGGTGGCTGTGCTTTATTGATTTTTGTTTTTGTTTTTTTCAGAGACAGGGTTTCCCTGTGTAACAGCTCTGGCTGACCTGGAATTTACTTTGAAGACCAGGTCAGCCTCAAGCTCACAGAGGTCTGCCTGCCTCTGCTTCCCAAATGCTGAGACCAAAGGTGTATGCCTCCATCGACCTGCATGGCTGTGTGTTTTTGTTTTTTGTTTTTTGTTTTTTGTTTTTTTTTTTTTGTTTGTTTCGAGACAGGGTTTCTCTGTAGCTTTGGAGGCTGTCCTGGAGACCAGGCTGGCCTCCAACTCACAGAGATCCGCCTGCCTCTGCCTCCCAAGTGCTGGGATTAAAGGCATGCGCCACCTACGCCCGGCTAATGGCTGTGTTTTATTTTCTGGGAATCTTCTAGATGTCTGAATGGGACTGAAACTGTTAGGGTAAATTTCTCACAAGTTAGGTAATTGGAAACCTTGTTTTCTTATTTTTCCTATGTGTGAAATGGGGACAATGATAATACCTGCCAAGTAGAATTGTTAACATAAATAATACATGTAAATTTTAAAAAATTGTTTGTAGGGTATATTTGTGTGCATGTGTGCACAT